ATAAAATTTTATTGAAATATTATAATTTAAATTAGTTAATGAATATTTTTCTCAATAAATATATAAAAAATATTTTGCAAAAATCATCGTAAAAAATCTCTTAAAAAATAAAAATTATTTAATAAAAAAATAACTCTCAGTACCATAGGCGTAGAGTCCGACCTATCCAGTATTTCACTTTTTTTTTGTGTTTTTCTCTTATGGTTCAGTTTACATAGCTAGCTAGGTCTCTGCTGACATATTGAATTATTTTCCGGAATGCTTAAAAAGATGGAATTTGAGTGGACATCAAAGGTCAAGAGAAGAGATGAAATGTTCTCTCTCAGTGCAGATATTTTCTGAGCATTTTACATTGGCCATATTGAAGTGGTAGTGTAACAGTGAAAAGGTTCTAAAACCTCGAGGTTAATATTATTATGTAGATTTAGTCCAGTTTTATCCAGTTAGAAAATAGAGCAGGGGAAAATATGAAGAAAGTATTGTTTTTTTGTTTTTATTGTATATATAAAGGGTTTATATATAAATTTGGATAATAAAATATTTGTAAGTATAAAATTAATTGGTTTAATTATATACAATCAATTAATTAAAGTGTAAATATACTAATATGGTATGAATATTAATATTCCATCTTATACTTCTTACTTTTTTTTATTAATAATTATTTGTTTAATTGAGTGATTAACATCTTTTGTAAGACTTTTTATGAGTCTTTAATAGGAGTATGTTAATAGTTAAAATCTAGTGTTTAAACTCGAGATCACAAGATAAAAGGAGTCTAAGAGACGAGAGAGCTATTCCATCGTTGGTTCACCCTTAAATAAATAAATAAATTATTATTATTATTATTAGTAAGTAATGTTAACTGTGTACATATACCTATATTTTCAAGGATTTATATGATCAACTCTAGTTAGTGCTGCCTAAAATAATTAATTATAATAAAATAATAATGGAATTTTTTTTACATATAGTGTTCTTACTAAATTATAAAAATGTAATTTTAAGAAACTATTAAAATGTTCATAAAAATTTCTCGTAATAATATCATATACTTCTAAAAGAAATTAAAAAGAAACTAAAACATACTGAAAATCAAATTGCTCTACACTAATGGTAATATATGATCTCAAAAAAGAAAGTAGAGCCCTGTTTGGTGAACTAGCTACTCAAATACAATAAATAGTCAATATTCGACATTAATACTTGTTTTATAACACTCTTACATAGCCAATTAGAAACCAACCAGTTAATTATATAGTTCTCTAAAAACTACTGTTTGTTTTTTTTTTTTTTCTTTTTTCATTATGATATCGAATTAAAGGATATCAAATGCTGTCAACCCAGTAAAATTTTCAGCTCAATAATAAATATATAATACCAAAAAAAAATAAAAGTAAAAAACGAATAGCCAAATCACAGGAGAGAGGAAGAAACAATAAGTCAAATACGAAATGATCCATGCACATGCATATTCAATTAAACAGTCCTCCATCTAACATGCAAGGAACATGCTACCCTCATTAGGGTTTTTGATCTTTTCCCTCTCTCCCCCTTTTGTCTTCCACATTGTTAAAAACCCATAACTGAAAACCTGAAATAATGCGAGCAGAAAGACAGTGCAGAGATTTTGGTATCATTCTCACGATGGGGAGTGATGAGTGGGGACTCAATATAAATGACGAGAACAACATCGTCACCGTTCTCATCATGTTCATAAATTCCACCGAGCACACAGGTGTACGTAACAGAAAACAAACAAATTAAGATCGCAGAAAGTTCATGGTTTTGTCCAAAACACTGAGTGCAATCGATATCCACATTTTCTCTGTTAGGATCCAATCTAAGGTTTCTCTTCCCACGAAAAAGATCCTTCACTCTTTTTTTCCTTGCATTGCTAACAAACCAAACCAAACCAAACCAAAACCCCATCCCATGCTCTCTCTTTCCTTCCTAATTTCCTGTTCTTTTGGACTCACATTAGTACATAAAAACACACCATCATTACCTATACGATCCACCAGTGCTGGTACTAAATACACAAACCTCACACCCAGAAAAAACAAAAAACCACCCAGAAAATAAAAATAAAATGAAACTTAGAATAATTAAAGGGACCTGTGTTCAAGAATACTGATATTGTTGGTTCTTTGTCTCTTAACATTTCCTGAAGAAGACTCATCACCAGAAGTCTTCTCCATCACTGCTTTCAATGCTTCTTGTATTGAGCTTATGGAATACTGTTGTGGGTCACCGTTGTTACCTGAATCTTCTTCTCCGGTGATAAAAAGAACGTTCTTTACACGGCCGCCTAGTGTCGTTATCTCAGCTTTCAAGGTTTTCAGACGTAAGGCTTTAAGGGTTTTGATCAGGTCTGGCAAGAGATCAGACCTGTCTTCACAGCAAAGGGAAGCTTTGATCACAAATTTACCATCCTCGTCTGCTGCATCAACTGTAAGCTCGTCCATCTCCGTAGGGACAGGACTCGTTTCTGCTATCAACGAAGTTTGGCGTTTCAGCTCCTTAACATGTTGTATCACTTCTGCCAGTAGTGAAGCCTTGTCCGTCTACACCGTGAACAATATCATAAAAATCCAACAAAATGTATCACATCATTAAATACAATATAATCATAATATTGATGATATGTCAAAAGTAGTGATTTTTTGTGTCTACTTAAAAAGAAGAGATGACTGAGTTTTTTTGTTCTTTTCCTCCTTTCAAACATGAAATAGCTTAATGAATAGGTTCTCTTTGATTTGAAGAGAACGAAGGGGGGGTAGAGTGGCTGACAAAGGAGAATTACTTTGTCTTTCTTTATATTTCTTTCTCCGGCAGGAAATTTCCATGGAAGCTTTTCAACTGATGCTTTGGTTCCTCTTTATCATATCAAGGAAGCGACATTAACGCTAATTGCCTTTTTCAATTTTTTTTTTCTCCTCGGAACTACCACAAGATGACTGAAACAAGAATATTGAAACCAAAAGACAACCAATTTTCTGTAACAATGGAACGAAAAATGAAAGGGCCAAAGAAAGAAATATGACTTTCTCATCGTAAAGGGTAGGTTTTGATGCCTGATTCTCAGACCAAACTTGCAGCTAGAATCTGGGGAAGATCTAAAGACATGAAGAAAAAAGCTTATTATCATACAAAACAAAAAGGTAAATTACTCTCTTCATTTAATATTCACCATGTTGTACGCGTGATCATTTAAAAGTGTTTTTTTTTTTTTTTTTTGGGGGGGGGGGGGGGGGGGGGTGTTTCTTTTCGAGAGAAGCAAATTAAGTGTGTAAGTGCCATGCCAGTTAAGCAAATTTTAAGGAGTATTCAAGAAAGAGGAGAACTTACTTTGGTGGTGCTAGGGAGTAAGCTGCGGAGCTTAGCGAGGTGGTTGTTGATTCTCTCTCTTCTTCTCCTTTCAGCTTCACTGTGACTTTTGGAGGCAGCAAGGGCTTTGGCATCCATGATTTCTTGAGCAGTCATCTTACCCAACTCAGCTTGAAGTCCGAAGGGAGCTGAACCGGGTTGAACAACCGGTCCCAGAGTTTCAGATAGTATTCTCAGATGATCGGTTGATGAACCGTCATAAGCAAAGTGTAGGCCGGGACCTCTCCTGTTGAAAAAACCCCCATATGTTGGCGGCGGAGGAGGGACAAGAAAAGGGTCGTGGTCTCGGACCGGGGTTCCAGAGAAGTGGGGAGGATTGAAGGTGTGAACCGGAGGAAGGGACCATGGTAAGATCGGCGAGACTTCAGGGTAAATCAATCCCTCCCTAAATAAATCATTATTCTGCTGCTGCTGCTGGTGATGCATCATCAATTGGTGTTGCTGATGAAGGAGAAGCTCCTCTTGGAAACCCTGCATGTTATGGATAGATTTAGAACACTCTCCCCGATCTTCTTCCTCTTTCATCTATATATCGATCCCCCCCCCCCTCTCTCTCTCTCTCTCTCTCTCTAGAAAGGAAAAAAGATTCAAACTTTGTATAGATATGAAGTTGGTAATTTACACATCGATCATCAAGACTTACTTGTATATGATATAGAGAAGGAATTGGATGAAGGGTATGAAGAGAATAAAAGAGACAGACCTGCTTGTTGCAGATGATGATATGTTCACATAGGACTTTTGAGTGCTCTTGGTGGTGGTGGGAAGAGATGGAAAAGCCAAAAAGAGGGGTGCCAAGACTTGTCTTTCACTTGGGTAGGTTATTTTCTGCCACGCCTTTGTGGGTGTAATGACCCTTTTTATCCCTTTGGCCTTGGAGAATAAGCTTTCCCTTTCCTTGGTGCTTTGTTGGTGTCTTTTTGGTTCCTTTGTTTTTTTCTTCCCTTCCATCCACCACTATACCTCTGAATTTATAGACTCTGCAGGGACTGCTAGTCCCCTCATCCTTTCCTTTCTTCTTACGGCATTCTCCATCCATCCCATTCCCTGTAGCTATCAGACTTGGGGGAGGAGAAAATTGAGACCTTTTTCTTTTGAAATTTTTTTGAAAAATTATTAAAAGATTAATTAAAAATAATGGTGTTTGGTGGATTGTGATTGGTTCAAGGTGTATAATTACAGTGTGTGATGGGTGGGGATGGGAAACACAAAAACAAACACAGTGAACGCACAACACACAGATTGTCGACCGACCAAGGACCAAAAAGGCTGATAGCTTCATCATGATAAAAGGCTTAGCTAAATAAACACTTTTCAATTTTTTCTTTTTTATTTTATTTTATTTTATTTTATTTTTGTTTTTAATTTAATATATATGGTGGCTTTTCTTCTACCTCGGTCAAGTCCCCACGTTCTTCTATACTCTTGGCCATTTCCACGCCACCCTTTCTGCTTCCCCAAGACCAAGTAATGATTGTGTCTTGGAACACACTCCATCTCTCCTTCTCTTTCTCTCTCCGGCGTACTTTGCTTTCAGTTACATGTACATGTCCATGGTTCTCATCACTTCTCTTGATCTTTCCGTGAATTCTTTTTGGAAATTTGGCCTCTTTTTTTTTGAAAAGAAATGGATTTTGGTAATTTTTTTTTTAATGGGGATGATCATCATGATCTGCTCCTCATTGATCAAGTTATGAAGTTGGTTTGTCTCCATTTCCAGTTTTTGCATTACACATGTAAAGTATCTAGTCCATGGTTTGGAGGGGCCCTGCTTTTTTGCCGTTAAAATGGTTAAAGATAACTTTTCATCACAGCATAATGCGATATGTAATGGAAGCTCTCAATTTCCTTCAATTCATTGCAATCTCTAACAATAAGTATATAGGATCCTCTTGATTATAACACTCATCCACTCTCTGTATAGATTCATAATATATGGCAATCAAAAATGCTTTTTAACCGTCTACCGTATATTTAAAAATGTCCGTTCATAAATTAGAAAAATACCCATATATAAGGATACTTTAAAACAAACTATTCTTTAAAATAATTTTTTGAAAGATTTATTTAAAATTTTATATTTTAATTAATATTTCTAAAAATAATTATTAGATTGAAAGTTTTATTTTTATAAATGTTAACTTAACACTTATAACTATTTGATAAAAAAATTATTTATTGACATATATTTAATAATATTAAATTTTATATATAGTTAATGAAATAATTAAACTTACCAAAATATTTAAAAATTGACAAGTAAGATTTATATAAATAAAAATTTTAATTTAATAATTAATTTTTAAAAATATTACTTAAAAATTAAACTTTTAAACAAATCATCTAAAAAAATATAAAATGACAAGCATGAAAAAAGCTTTTTCGATATATATATTATTCGTTTGGTATAGTTGGAGTTTTTAATAAAAATTTTGTTGAAAAAAAAGTATTGTAGAAATGTTGTTTTTATAAAAAAAAAAATAATGATAAAATATAAATAATATTTTAATTTTATTAAAACTCAAATGAGAAATTCTTACAGAAATATCAATTCGATATTTTTGAGATTTATAATAAAATAAATAAAAAACTAACTTGTGAAAAATTGTAATATTTTTCACATATTTGAAGCAATTGAATCTTTTAAAATCCAAAAGAACTCTCATCAATTATACTAAACATGTACATAGTGTCCAAAAATTCCCATATATATTTCTACTTGAAAATATATGAACTTTCAACCCTAAAACACTGTAAGAGGACAGAGGTTCCAACTTTATCTACTACTACAATGCTTTGCTTTTTCCATAGGGCTCGGTATCCCGAGCTTCTCGCTAATGTCTTTGCTGTAGTTTTAGCTGCTAACGTACTGGGCACTGGCTTGCTTGATCGTTGTGCCTATAACACCTTCATAAATCCAATCCTCTTTTCTTTGGAAATGCAATGTGTGTTTATACCAGAAAGTCAAGAGAAATTAATTAAAGGCAACAACAAAAATCATGACTAGTTAAATCTCTTAACCAACAACACTGTTTATAGAAGGGCAGCTTGGCTAACAAAAGCAACAACAAAAATCATTAAACAAAACATAACCTTCTTTCCTCTTTCATTTCATTTCCCCTTTTCAACACCATAATTTCTTTGGACTTTGGAGCGAAGGGAAAGGAAGAAAACCCAGTTTTTGTCCTCAACTTTTTAATCATCTTTTTGCTTTTGTATTTATTGATAAGATCAAGCTAAGCCCTCAAATTAATCATCAAACAAATTTCCAATATTCATTACCGATGTTTCCTCCGATGCTCCAAATCCCATTGATCCCTTACCCTATCTGGACACTCACCATGGCACTGTTGCAGAATCGTGTCCCCCACCCTTTGATCTTTGCTTTTGGCAATGGAAGGGAAGTGAAGGGATGGTTTATATTTTTTAGGGCCCTTTTGGTGGTCACACGCATGGCTACCTTGGTCCCCCATTGGGTTTATCTTTTCATCTTTTCTGGAACTTTTTGTTTAGTTTGTGGGTGTGTATATATATATATATATATATATATATATTTTTTTTTTTTTCAAAAA